GAGCAGGGAGCCCGATGCGGGACTCGATCCAGGGACTCCAGGATCATGACCTGAGCCGAAGGCAGTCGCTTAACCAACTGAGCCACCCAGGTGCCCCGTAAATCTCTATTTTCATCACATACTTTCTGCTACAAGGAAATAGTAAGAATACTGTACAAGAATATTTCTGCTCGGAAAGAGACTGCATAAGTAGAAATATATTTTCAATGAGGAAAATGAGGCTCTGGGAGATTTTAAAAATAATCTGCTGAAGACCACACAATGGTAGCAGAGCTTTGTTTTAAGCGGGGCTTATCACTTCAAACCCGACAGGTCCATGTTCTGCCCTCTCTCCCGTGCCACCAGGCTGGGCCACAACCATCTGGAGGTCAGAAGGCTTGCTCTGGTCAGGAGCCCTGTACATGCTGGGGCAGATCAGTTTATGTTTCTGGACCATAGTTTTATTAATCTTGTAATACGATTTTCTTATTTCTCCTCTATTCCTGAGAGAGAAACCATGAGGAAAAATTGAATGATAAAGTAAAATCTCATTATAAAATGCCACTGTGACCCACATATTGGGTTATATTTTTAGGGCAAATATTTCTTCCTCTCTGCAGTGAGATACACAGTACCCAAATCTTTCTGATAACAGAGAAAGTCTGTTGTAAGTAGCTCTTACCTTTATTCCTCAAACCATTTATAATAATGGAATTTTGCTCTTAATATGGAATTTTTTTTTTTTTTTTTTTAGCTTTTCAGGAAAGAGATGTTGCTACTTGTGGTACCTTATATGCTACCTTAAAAAAAAAGTTAGATTTCAAGTGAAAGAAAATCTGTCACAGGTTTTCTCCCCTCCCTTCTGCCTGGTTCCCGTGAACTATTGAACACGAAGCATGCTCACGGATAGAACCTGCCATCTAAATTCCCATGGTAGCTCATACCAACTGGTATCCCCAGTTAGCCTGATGAGGAGTCACTTTTATGAGTATTTCAAGCATCTTTTTATGTCTAATAAAGGTAACTGGGGTAGTCACTAGGGGAAACTTTCACAGAAGCACGTAGGAGGTGAATTTTGCTTTATGAGTCTCATCTCTTTTGGGGAGAGATTTATTAATATTTATCCTGTAAATGTAGGAGGAATAAGATTTGAGCCATTAAAAGTCCTTTTTCCTCCCATACATGGCTCTTTTTGTGATGAATCAAACCAAACATACAGAAATGCATTTTTCCTGTACCTGAATGATATTTTCCTGTGGAAGTCAGGGTCATTCATTTGCTCAAATTCAGCAGCTGTGGAATAATTTTTCAGTAAGGTGAATGTTCACTGAAATCCAGCAAACAATTGCACAATTGCTCAGGAAGATTACTTGAAAGTCCGTTCCCAAGGAGAGCACACCTCCTTGCATTCTCAGACTCTTTAGAGAAGCAGCACTTTGCGTGGGCTTTTAGGCTAGCTCTAAATCTTCCTGGGCACTTGATCTGGTACAGGTGAGATGAGCATAATAAACGGTGGATTGTGCCACAGCAGGGTTCAGGGTAAAATCATACGAAGTGGTCCTGTGGGGGAGGTATGCTTTACAACTTGCTGTGTAAGTACAACCCAGAGACCTGTTGATTCATGTAGATTCATTGCTATTGTTTACTTTAGCCTAATGTAATTTATTATTTAGTTGTAGAGCTGGAAGACCATCAGCATCCTCTATTTCTAGCTCATCATTCTACTTAAATCTAAACCTAACTCCTTTAATACATTTCTCCCTGTTTCTCCCTCTGATAGATCATCCTCCTGTCTAACCTAAGACTCTCCTATTAGCCCTTGGTTAATATTGCAATGAGAACCCATTGAAAACCCTTATATACTCATGGCCTGCGTGAGTCTGCTTTTTTTCCCTCTCCATACATTGTAGATATTCTGAGTGAGCCGTGGTTTAATTTTGTGACTGTGTGGTTTTATCTGTGCTAACCAAAATGTTGCACTTCCAAGTGGCAGGACAGCATTGCAAATGAGTCGAGATCTTTCTATTCAGCTTCCTCGGCCAGATCAGAATGTGGCAAGAAGTCGAAGCAAGACTTACCCAAAGAGAATAGCACAAACACAGCCAGCTGGTAAGTCACTGATGTAACTTTGCATTTCCTTTTAGGGTGGTGGTGTGAGATATGCCCAGGTGGTGATAGCCATGTAGTTTTCTTTTATTGGTAACAGTAGAATGTTTAATTTGGCCCTGAAAATGTCCAAGCAATTAGAAATTACTAATAAGTAGACCAGTAGTCAGCTTGAATCACCATAACCTGCTTAATGATTATATTTTCTTTTTGAATAAAATCCCAACTGAGTAATCTCTTAGTTTGATGTATCTGAGATTAGAACTGAAACTCTTAGCAAAAGTTCTTAAAACAAAACAAAAAAAAGGAACACTATTGACATAATCTGTACAGAATTTAGTTGAATTTTTGTTATTGTTGGTCTTTTATTGTGAAATATATGTGTAGAAAAGTGACTACAGTGTACATACATACATGAATATATATATATATATATATTTATATACACTTGTACATACACAGAATTTAACATAGCCTACAGCCCCAAAGTCCTTCCTATTGGCCTGATGATATCTTCACTATCTCCTCCCTCCCCAACCAGAGAAATCCCCATCTGACTTTGTGGTAATTATTTCCTTAATTTTTGTTATAATTTTAATACTGTGCAGCCTTCCCTGAACAAACAAGTTTATTTTGCCTATTTGTAACATTATATGAATGAATCATGATGTGTATTGTTTGTGTTTTGCTTCTCTCTATCAATGCTATTATGTAGTGTATACTAAAGTGCATTCATTTTTCTTGCTGTGAGTATTTCATGTTATGATCATTTCTTTATCCATTCTACTACTGATGGACATCTGGGTTGCTCAGGTTTTTTGTTTTAAATGAAGACTACTTCTGTAATAAAGCCAGCTAATCAGTTTTAATTCATGTTCAGAACTCACAGAATTGTACTGTAAAGTGACATTATACATTACTGAGTTTGATTTATGGCTTACTTATAGATCACCCTTATCTAACGTGTTCCGTGGACTTTTTAAAAGATTTTATTTATGAGAGAGAGCAAGAGAGCAGGAGGGGGTGTGGAGTAGAGGAAGAGGGACGAGCAGACTCCACGCTGAGCATGGAGCCTGACATGGGGCTCGATCTCACTACCCTGAGATCATGACCTGAGCTGAAACCAAGAGACACTTAACTGATTGTGTCACCCAGGCGCCCCTGGAATTTCTCATATACTGTCTCACTTGAGCCCACAATAACCTGTGAGATAGGGCAGAGCAAAGAGTATGTTCCCATTTTACAGATGAGGAAGACATGATTCCAGCAGCTAGACAGAGTCCCCCCTGACTGGGATAAGAACCTAGGTCTCCTGGTTTTTGTTTTTATCGTATTGTGGGAAATGAGTGGAATTTTTAATAACAATTTCTATCTGAACATTGCATGACAATTGACATAGCATTACGACGTCCATTGTTTCACTGAATCCTTATGCCAAGCCTAGGAGGAAAGTATTTTGCTCTACTGCTCCTGGCTGTGAGAATGTCACCTGCCTTACTGTTTCGAAGTCAAATTAGATCTGACTGTAGGTCTCTCCCTGTCACTGAGCTGGGAGGAAATTAAATTCTTTCTGTTGGTTCTGCCGTGGCAAAAATAAGACACAATTTGCAATAGGTTACTTTGTCACATAAGTATTATCATTATCCCTGTTTGGCTGATGAGGAAACTAAGATTTTAAAAGGTAATTTGTCCAAGATTATATACTAAATAGGTGGCTTATGATAAAAATTCTAGCCTTAATATTTAATATCTTTATCTTAATTTTTTGTATTTATCTTTGTATATGAGCAATCTTAAGTCCCATTTGGATCAAATACAGTGTGGTGTAATTAATAATTGAACTTTCAAATCCTGTGCTGTTTCTGAATTGCCATGCCTCATGAAATTATCGAGACCAACTGAATATATCAAAAGCATTCCTTCCTTCAAATCAACATTTCATCATATTTGAGATGTGGGATTCCACACATGCTTTTTATACAAAGCTACTCAGCTCCTTTTCTTCAAATGTGCTCTTATAAAGATACCTGCCTCTGTAATACTTTCTGTATGTGTGGGTGTGTGGCTCTCCTTGGACTCCCAAATTCTAGAAGCTGATTAATTTACGGACAGGAATTTTTGGTTTTCTCTCTCTCTCTCTTTTAAGATAGATTTATTCATTTATTTATTTGAGACAGGGAGAGAGAGCACAAGCAGGAGGGAGAGAGGGAGAGGGAGAGAGAATCCCAAGCAGATTCCATGCTGAGTGCAGAGCCTGACCCATGGCTCCATCTCATGACCCTGAGATCACGACCTGAGCTGAAATCAAGAAGTTGGCATTTAACCCACTGTGCCACCTAGGTGCCCCATGTTTTTGTTTTTCTCTTACCTTATGCAGAGGACACCCCAGGGGATGGTATTGAACCCTCATATCCCCCCTCCCCCCCACTCTCCACTCATCTTGTGTTGTAGTAAAAGACGCTCTCTCTTCGGTAGGGGTTGAGGGTGTGGCTAATGTACCACCCAGGTTTTTCAAAGACAGCCTCTCAGCGTCTGGGAAATCTTTTTAAAATGCAGCACATTATGGGCCATCTGGGTGGCTCAGTCTGTTGAGCCTCTGACTCTTGATTTCAGCTGGGGTCTTGATCTCAGGGTAGTGAGTTCAGGCCCCAAATTGGGCTCCACACTGGACATGGAGCTTACTTTAAAAAAAAAAAAAAAGTGCAGCACATTATGCATTTATTACCATAAAAGCCTGGCTGGCTCAGTTGGTAGAGTGTGCAACTCTTGATCTCAGGGTCCAACCCATGTTGGGTGTAGAGTTTACATAAAAATACATATGTACATACATACATGCTTGTTTTAAGAAAAGTTAGGAAACCTAGAACCTTTCCTCCCAAAACAAAAAAATCTTTCATCTTCAATTCCATTCTCCTAGTACTTAACACTTTATTATATAGCCTTCTGGTTGTTTGTATATCTTTTCTGCAAAAGCAATATAGTATTCTTTTACAATCCACTTTACTTATTTAATAATATATCATAGATATATCATAGATATGTTCTAATAAGTTTTGAAATGTTCTTAGCACTATTTTTTTAAACATTTTATTTATTTATTTGACAGAGAGAGAACACAAGCAGGGGGAGCAGCAGGCAGAGGGAGAGGGAGAAGCAGACTCCCCGCTGAGCAGGGAGCCCGATGCGGGGCTCCATCCCAGGACCCTGGGATCACGACCTGAGCCGAAGGCAGACGCTTAACCGACTGAGCCACCTAGGCGCCCCAGTTCTTAGCACTATTTTAAGATCTATATAATTTTCTGCCACACAGATGTATAGACATGACATAGCTTATTCAACCAGTGTTTAGTTCTTGGACGTTTAAGCTGCTTGAAATTTTGAAGACTATAAATATAACTAAAGTGAATCTCCTTGTAGTGATAGCTTTAAGCATTCATGCTAATTTATTATATATATTTTAAACAGTAGTGTATTTTCATCATTTTTAATCTAAAAAGGATTAAACAATGCTGTGTTTAGAAACTAAGACTTTGCTGTGTACACATTTTGCTTTGATTTGGAATTACTTTTAGTGTGACTTGTCAAGCCTGGGTTCCACAAAACCCTGATGTGTTCTGGGATCCAGAGGTGACCCTCCCTTGGACAGTGTGACTGTCCTGGGTCGGAAGGACCACTTAGCAAATGCCAATGATGAGGTGTTACAGTTGCTGTCACATGCATAGGGAGGATGTGGTTGAGGCTGGGATTAATGTTGCTCTGCTTTTTCAAATCTGATATTTTCTTTTTCCTCTAATTCAAATGTACTCAGCTTTGAGCCTCAGTTGAACCCAGCTGGTGGTGACGCAGTCTGACCCATGCCCTACTCCTAAGGTCATGGTGGGGTTCAGACTTAGAGCAGAATATTTGAAGAGGGTCCTCTTGTCTTCACCTACGTTAGTCACTGCTGCACTCCTTGTCCCAGCCCTCCAGGCCCCAAGAGGGTGGGCAGTTTTCTGTGAAGCTGGGCTGGGATGTGTGTGAGAGGGAGGGGTCTCTGGTGAGCCTAAGAGCCCGCTGTGCTTAGGGTCAAGCCTGCCTATGACACCTCTGCCAGTCCCCCTTGAAGGTTCCGCTGCCTGGGGGAAGGGAGGGATGCTTGAGGGAGTGGCCTGCGGGTCACTAGGTCGCTGAAGCCCTCTGGCCTCTGTTTCCTTCTCTGCCCCTATAGGCGGTTCCTTCAGCCCTGTCCCTTCCTCCCACACTCCCAGCTCCGACAGCCCCCTTCCTTAGAAGCTCCCTATTCCTGAGACTCATTCATGGGTGGCTGGGCAGGAAAGGAACAGTAGCTCTTGTTTTTTTAAAAATTACTTCTTACTGACCAAAGGGAACAAAAATGTTACTTTACTAAATGATGCTGCCACAATTAACTTAAATTTTCATTTAAAATTTTTGACAAAGCGGCAGAATGCTGGTATTAAGACATAGAAAAAGTTAATTCGATTGTACTGTATTTGGCAAAAATGGAGTTACGGTTTAGATAGAAGATAGATTTTTTTTTTAACTCTAAACAGGCCAGCTTTTAATTTTCATAGATTAAATTCTGCTGATATTTTCCCTAAAACAACATTTTAGACCTACAGTTTCAGGAGTTATAGGCATAAATTCTCACCTCATTTAACATTTATATATAATAAAAACCAAGTTGTGATAGGAGGCCTTTGTTTTTTGTTAGTTTATAACCTTGATCGTGCATGATTTTTTACTGTAGGAGACATTCTTTTATTTCTTAAAGTAATTCAGTCTAATTTAGCGACTATTCCCCTTACATCTCAGTTGTCTACAAATTTAAAACACCTTTTTTTACTTCTCAGTCATGAATAATAAATTCCCTGGTAGCAAAAAAGCCATTGTGTTTAGAATCCACAAAGATTAGGCCTTGGCACCTCTAGGAGGAAGCGCATTCCAGAGTCAGAGCCCTGCAGCCAGCCTGCCTGGGCCCCACCCAGAGGGGTGCAGCTCCAGGG